GTCTTCGAATTGAATTAAAAGTTTTGGATATACTTCAATCAAAGATTTGACAACAACATCCATAAAAGAATAAAACTATTTGATTTGTTTTTTTTTAAAAAAAAATATTATTGATATTATTATTTAGCAAATTATTAAAGCTAACAATCAATATATACATAATCACTCGCTCACAAAATAACAAATATATATATATATACCTCGGTGTCAGATACTCTTTTTTGTTTAAGCCCAAGGTAAAATTCATCGTTTAAAAACTTTTCATTATTTGTACCAAGATCAACAGTGATAGGCAAAGTACGACGAGGATCAATTCCAGCAGCAGCAACATATAATTGCAACTTTCCAACCGGAATACCCATGCCATTTACACCTAAATCACCCAAACCCAAAATTCTAGAACCATCAGTGATGACAGTAATTTGTGGAGTTAATGATTTGTCAAATTGATATGGTTGAAAATTTTTTATGATTTCTGTTAAATTGGATTTGTCTTTGAGTGAAAGGAAAAGACCGTCTGGTACACCAGGTGGTGCAAGGAATGGGTAAATATTTGAGTATTCTAAACATGCGGTTCCAACAGTTGGAGTATATACTAACGGTGTGATTTCCTAGATGGTTTTGGTTTTAGAAGAAAAATTTTTTAAAAAATTTATAATTAATACAAAATAAAGTATAATCAAGAGATCTCCAACACCTTTCTATATATGTCTAATTATATTATTACCTCTAATTCTTCCATCAAGATACGGTAAAATAATCTAACATTAGTGTTTCTTAACCAAGCAAGGAACGTGTATTTTTCCAATTCAGTTGATTTAGACCGCAATTGAATCAATGCACGTTTCTTCTGTTGTTCAATTGATTCAACGCCATATGGACTAAGACCAGTAATCTTCAAAGAATTACGTGTTTGATGAGATGTGGAAGTTCCTTTATTAATTTGGAAATAGATAAAGATTTAATTTAGCATTTATTTTTGGAGAAAGGGTATAATGTTGGATGTAAGTTGAAAAATAATTCGAGATGTATGGAAGAAGGAATTTAATTATAAAAATTATTATTAAAAATATACACAATTTTAAAATTTATTTACCTTGATTAAGATAAGGAGATTTAGAGATACATTGAACGATTTTACTATTACTATTACCATTTACACTTGGGCCACGCATTTTTCAAAATGGTTAATATTATTTTAAATTTATTATAATTTTTGAAAACAATCTTTTTCAAAGATGATGATTACACAAAATCGGTTCAATTGGAGTATTACTATTGCTATTGCTATTGTTTAACAGGATCAGAGTTGGTATTTGTTGTTATAGTATTTATATTATTGATTTTTGAGAAATGAAGTTTTTTGTAAAGAAAGAAAGAAAATTTTTCGCTTATATAATGATGAAATTTGTTGTGAAACCATGGTGATTTTTTACTTTATCAAGTTCCTCTTTACTAAAATTGTTAATTCAATTAATTATTTTGTTTGATATGTACGAAATTAATTATGAAACGCTAAAGTGTATAGTAGTAGTGGAAAAAGAAAATTAATCGTGTTTATAAACATATCCTGATTTGATGATATAATTATGATGATTGAATAAAAATATAGTTAAAGAGACTAACTAATTTACTAATTAAAAAAAATATTGTATTAGTATTATAAATATTAGTAGTTCCGGTATTTTCCGGTTTTTTCCTGATTATTATTATTTACTATTATAAAAATGCAAGATTCATCTTTGATCAAGCGACTTGGCATTCTGTGTGAAATGTTTTACCCACAAAACCTTTTGACTCACCAAACAAATCAAACTGGTATATGGTATTAGCATAACAAATGTGTCACAAATACAAATTTTTAAGTAAATAAAAACATTATTATCTATCGTGGAAACTTTCTTTTTGGTCTGTGTAATTAACTGTTGTAGTAACATTTGTAATTATGATCTTCGTCATAATCTGAAGAATGTGACTATATACTTGTATAATAAGAAATAAATAATTTGAATTTTATAAATTCACAAAGTTCATAGTTATAGAATTATAGAGTCGTTATTTCGATACAAATACAGATTCGCCATTTTCTCTTGTTCTTCATCGTCATTGCACCAAACTTTTACCTACTCGACATTATCAATTTCTTGTTCTTGCTCTTGGTGGCTATCACCATTGTTATTATTATCATAATTGAAAATTATCTAGATGTGACATGTCTGTGAAGATACCATCAAACAAACTCGACTCTATTCCCTATGTTCCATTTATGACTAAACCTTTGGGTGAAGCTCCTTCTTTATGTACAATGTCAGCATATATTTATTCACTTACACCCCGAGATTCATAAATTGCTAATAATAAATGCTAAACTAATTAATAGGGGCTAGTAACGTCAGATCGTGGTGACAAATTGGCGCAACATAAAGTTTATTTTGCGAGATCAGATAACAATGGTCGACAATACAAAACACTTGAGGAAGTGATCGAATACGTTAAACCAACTTGTTTGATAGGTTTATCATCTACACATGGTGTATTCAACGAGAAAATATTAAAAAGAATGGCTGAACTCAACAAACAACCAATCATATTTCCACTATCTAACCCTTCTAATAATGCTGAATGTACATATGAAGAAGTATGATGTTTTTTTTTTTGAAGAAGAAGAAGAAGAAATATTCAACAGATTCCTCAACTAATAATTATAATTATTTTTTGTATTTTAGGCTATGAGACATACAAATAATACTGTAATATTTGCTTCAGGTACAGCTTTTCCACAATACGTTGAACCTGAAACTAAAAAAGTACATTATCCAGGTCAAGGAAATAATATGTACATATTGTAAGTAATTTTATCCTATTTATTATAAAATCAAATCATGTTATATTTTACATGCATATATTCATTCATTTACTTAAATATAAACACTCTATTTAGTCCCGGATTAGGATTAGGTGCCATCCTTGCACAAGCAAAAAAAATCACCGACAAACAAATATATGCTGCAGCATCAGCATTAGCAAACTCGGTATCACCTAAGGAGAAAGCAGAAGGACGACTTCTTTATCCCGATTTAAAACGTATCAGACGTGTATCAGCTGAGGTTGCAGCAGCTGTAATTATGGAAGCGGTAGAGGAAGGATTAGCGTCAAACAAAGAAATTTTATCACCTGGTTTTCAACATTTATTAAATAATACTACAGAGTCAAAAGAAAAATTAATAAGCTTTGTTGAAAGCAATATGTGGGACACTACTGATAATAAATTCTTTGATGCTAGTCCTTTTAAAAAAAAAAAGCTTTAGATTTAAAAATTAATTATATAATTTGATAGAAAATTGTTTTTATATTTTTAAATTATTTGTTTAAAAAAAAAAAAAAAAATTTTAAACAAAAATAAAAATTCATAATTCCACTTCTATAATTGATTCCTTTTCTTCTCCCAAATTTATTAAGGTTTTCTAAAGAAATAACTCTGTTTTCATCAGAATGGTTACAAGATAATCACTGTTATAAACAAAAATTTTACACAAAATACGCCAAAATTTCACCGTCTAAACATTTTTATTAAATTAACCGACATGATGAGTCGTGAACACTTTCATTATATGCAACCTTTTATTAATCTGAAAAATTATTCAATTTTATTATTATGATTTTGAAGGAAATGTCCTCGGGAGCCTGGAGAACTAATTTATGCATTTTCAAACGTTTGTATTAGATATATCAAATTGCGAATTTTTTATCTATATAGATTTTGGACGAAAAGATGCTGAATATATAAAAGTTTCTATAACAGGTACTTCGAAATGCAACTTTTTAATATATCATATCCTAAAGCTTTATGAGGTCAGGTTAGCCTTTTTGATTTTATAAAGGATAGTTGGAAATTGTATATTCAAGTTCGAAAGACTGCCGTTTCTTCAATTTAAAAGATATGTAAATATTTGATTTATAATCATTTATTAATAAATATTCCATCAACCTTTTGGATTGTTTCTACACACTTACTTTTATCACTATTATTGTTTAATATATGTATGTACGTGTCACATAACATGATGGATTCATTCGTCTGGGAATCTTACAAATAATTTTTGAAACCTCGATTTTTACTATTTGAATCATTTGGATATTAATATATATTACAAATATAACCCTGGATTTTGTCCATGTAGTGGTATGCATAGTAATAGTAATATCCAGTAGATAGCCACTCTTTTAAATACAAACCCCCTATTCCTTTTTGGAGGACTAAATGATGACAATATGTTAACCATGAAATGACGTGGAAAAGTTATTGTAGCTACTAAAATAACAAGTATTTTGTGCTGCATACTATTACTAGCTCACTGATTACTATTAATAGTATTTGTGTTTGTTTATTTTTTTCTCAAGCAAGCAAAAAAAAAAGATACAATTGGAACCAAAGTTTTAAGTCATAAAAAAAAATAGTTCTTTGGGTTTATGGTTAAATATTGATCCATGTGGCAGAAATAAGTTGATCACTTGACCCAATCAGGTGATTTTTTGATGCAATTAATTGAGTTAACAAAGAGGATGATGATGTAGAAGTTATTGTTTCACCCATAATTAGTTGGGTGGTTGCTGATAATAACGAAGTACAAGCAAGAGTTTCAACCTTTTATTTACGTTAATGAAAGTTGGCCGTTTGGCGCAGCAACAAGAGCCTCAAGACTGCACGCGCACCATAATAATAATAATGACATTATTAAATATTCTAATAAGAATAACAACACTTTTTAAGTGGACTGATCATCAAACAAAAATAGTTTCAAAAAAACTAGCTGCAATTACTTACTTTATCCATTGGGTTACAACCATTTTTATACATCATCAAAAGTTTCAGCTGATCTCCTTAACCTTATTATATCATTACCCTTCCGAAATTCCAAAAAAAATTTACAATGTACGTGAAATTTAATTTTTTATGATCTGAAATAACAAGTTTTTCATTTGAGCATTTTATTGCTAGTCATTCGTTTGACCTTCTATACATCCTATACAATGAGAAATGCACCAACACTAACCAACGCTTAAACCCTTTGATTCAAGCTCAATTTCCTGTCTTGTGTTCAGCAAGGACACTTTAGCCCCCCACATAAATCTTCAAGTTAATGGTTTTAGTTTATCGTTGAATTCTACAAGCGCGTATATATATATATATATATATAATTGAGATTCTATAAAAATATTAATATGTGGGGATGTAATTAATATGGAATATATTATGATACATTTACTATAGTATTGCGAAAAGGTAAATCGGCCGACTTGGTTAAATTATTTTTAAAATAAAATTGCTGATATTGTGGATTTTGTTGAGGATTCTGGAATTATAATCAATTGACCGATACTTACGTCAAGTTGGGAATTTTCCAGAACGATTTTACCAACAACCGACATAATTGTATTTGGTTCGATCTTATGCTGATTATCGGCAAAAGTAAACGTTTTGTAGCGATATTTGACGAATTAGTTGTCATCATATCTATCTGTGACATAGACTGCTTTGATAAAGAAAAACAGATGTCGTTGTTATTATTATTATAAATTTTTTTGTGAAAAAAAAAAATTATAAATCAATTTATTTTACGTCGAGAAAAAAACTCGAGACTTGTTCGCTTAAAATGAAGAAAAGGCCCAAAAAGTCGCTTTTTTTTTTATTACTTGCAAAAAAAAATATATTATGCTTTTTAGTAGCAGGAAATAATACTTTTTATATTTACATTTTTATTTTCAAAGAATGCTTGGTTGAATTAATTCCGAATTGTTAGCGGTGGGAAATTATTATGGTTTGTTTTAGTAGCAGGAAAGAACTTCTTTACGTTAAGCTTGGTTGATGGATCAACTCCAAATTGTTTAGTGGTGAGAAAGCATTTCTGAAAAAGGCTTGATTTAAATGATTTTTTTTTATTATAATTATAAATACAATCTTTAAACGTTTAAAAAATTTGGAGAATACTAATAATCATGATCAGGATAAGGATAATAATAAAGGAGGATAATGAATAAATAATAAATAATAATAATAATAAAGGATAATAATAAGGATAATTAATACAAATAAATAAGAATAATAATAAAGGATAATAATAAGGATAATTAATACAAATAAATAATAAATAATAAGGATAATAAACAAGGATAAATAATGAGAAAACGAAAATGATCAATGATCAAAAGGTTTATATAGAACACAACCAATTTTGTGAACCATTTTCTTTCGAAAATTTTCAGAGAAATGGATAATATCATCGTTAAACATTGAAATACGTACGTTGCACTGATTTAATTGAGTTGTATTCTTTTGCTAATAATTATTTTTTTAAATTTTTAATCTAATTCAATAAAGTTTGCATTTGGATCAGCATCTGTTCATTATTATGATTTAATTTGTTTTCGATTTCATTGAGATTGGTTTCTGGTTTGGGCATATTTGCCAATTGTCTAAGTTCTCCAGAGATAAATGGAAGAAGTTCAGGATCTTCTTGACTATTATCAATTTCTCTAATTTTTCTTCGAATATCTTCAATTGGTGCGTTATAAGATCTATCAAATTATCAAGTTAAATTAATTAAAACTATTCACGATTATTTATTGAAAAAACAAAAAAAAAAGCATAATTACAATATATCAGGAAACCATTCTCTCCAACGACGTTGATTGGGAAGCAAGTAAAATAATTCAATCTCTTTTATGATTTTTGCCTTTTGAGCCAAAAATGCTTCATTTATGTTATAATTTTCAATTTGATTGATGATAAGACCAAGGAATAAATTCATCAAATATATTACAACAATAAATGAAAATAAAACGAATAATATTGCCAGATATGGATCATCTTGTAATTGCCAAGATCTAAATGCTCCTATATCACCTATTAATTATATTGTAAATTATTAAACAATGACGATTTAATTTTATTCACAAATTATTCAATACACATTTTATCAGTTAGCAACAAAAATTCCAAAATATTTACAAAGTCCATTAAACTTGTTGAGAACATGAAGGATATTAAATCAGCTATTGAGAATAATATGATTGATGATTATTTATTTGATTTCAAAAATTGCTTTGCTGAAATTGATTATTCATATATTGATAAACATCAAATTTCTAGACAACCTCATAAAGAAATGTTAGAAATGATCGATAATGAGTTTTATTATTTCAATAAATTCGGAAAGGAAATGTTAAAGATAGCATTAGATAATAAAAATAGTATTGCAGTAGAAAAAGTATTTGATTCTTGTCTTAGTCATTTTACAAAAGATACTGATTTAAATATTAGTTTATTAAAAATAATCATATTAGAATTACCAAGACTAGAAAAAAATCATTATACTTTAATATCAAAATTCTTTAGCCAAACCTCAATGATATTATTTCCATTTGTGAGAAATTTTTACAACATGAAACCTTTTTATAACACTATAGATCTTGAAGAATTGGTTTATAAAGAGAAAGGCTTTTTGGATTTTTATTATAAATATAATTATATTAACAAATTCTATAAAAGGGTTATGGATGTTAGAAATAACAAATCTGAAAAACCTTGTGTACAATTAGTAATTCCTTATCCTGGATTACTTACTTACAATAATAAATATTCATTTTGGAAAGAATTGCTTTATAAGCCAGCAAATAGCAAATTTACTGAATTAGATACTTTAGACTTATATAAATATTGGAGTGGAAAAGCAATCTTGGATTCCAAGTGGAATAATTTTGGATTCAATTATTATTTGGGGATTTGGGTCATTTATATGACATTTTTATTAATTTTTGTAATTACAACCTCTACTTCACCTGACCAATTATCTGATGAAAATAGACATTCATTATTAATTACTACAATCATCCTTGGGTTGTTTCATCTTAATTTTGAAGCGAGACAATTTATTTGGAGCCCAATGAAATACATCACTGACCCTTGGAATTATTTTGGTATGATATTATTATTAATTATTATCAGCTAATTAATTAAATTTGATAATTAATAATGATTATTATTTATTTAATAGACTTTGGAGCATACTTCATACCCACTGCTACTTCAATTCTATGGTTATATTATAATGGTTCACCAGCTACTGAGTTAATTTCATTGTCCAATTTTTTATTAGATCTGAAATTTATGCTGTTTTTAAGAGCATTTACATACTTTGGAAGATATTTTGCAATCATTTTAGGAGT